AGTAAAAATAAATTTGAGAGCAGGCAAATAAATCAATAAACATCCTGGTAAGGTTAGTGAAAACAGGGCCACCACGTGAAGGTCCCAGGATACCAGCCCCGCACGCTTTCGGCATCATCGGGCCCATCGCTGGACAGAGGGCAGCCCCTTACGGCACGCCACACTGCCACTGTCCGGTCCGCCCTCCCGAAGGAGAGTGCCCTAGCTTACATCACGTGCCGCCCTCCCACCCCCGGGGGGATGAAAGGACGTAGCAGCGTTTGCCGACTCTAATAACAGGGCCACACCTCTATTGGAGTGCCTCCGAAGAGACACCCCAGAGATGCAACTACCTGCACCTTTAACATCGACAACCGCGGGGTTTCCGGGCCGCTGCTAGGGTCCGTGCCTCTCGGCAGGCACTGCCGACCCCTTTCGCCATGTGCTGGGTTTCTGCCGCACGTCTCGCATTGGGGCCCCCCAGCAAACTCCAATTACATCGCCGCACTTCTCGCAAATTGGAGCGAGCCCCAATTTTTAATTGGTATCGCCGCACCCACCTAAGCCCTAACGACATAGGGATATAGGAGATCCCATAGTCTCGAGTTTTCAGAGGGATATAACAGATCCCAACTGAACTAAGAGCAAAAAAGCCCTGTCATGTTCTAAAAAAAAAGTCCCTATAGGGGAAGTACCTATGCCCTACAGTGGTGCACTTGAAGGTGAGCCTCTGGATGGACATAGGGATATAACAGATCCCATAGTCCTGCTGGTCTTGTGTTGGGGATATAGGGATATAAAAGATCCCATCATCCATCTTGAGGACATCGGGATATAGATGATCCCACAGTCCTATACAGAAGTCTCACAGAACATGCTCAATTTGAGCCGATGACATGCTCTATTTGAGCCGATGACCTGTAGGAAAACCTCCACCCCGCACAAGCACACCACACACCCACCACCAACCCACACAATCACAAGGAATGTTTTAAAACTTCAAGCAAACTTGAATCATACAGTGGAAAAAACTGAATACATATGCACACGAGTAGTTTCAATGAAGAACATTATCAGTTTTTCAGCATGATATACAAGCCATGCATAGTCCAAATTGAAAAATTGGACATTCCTCATGTCAGAAGACATTGGTACGGTAACGTACGGTGAAGTTCATTATCTGTTTTTGACAGGTCATGATGAAAAAAGAGACTTGTATAATTGGAAAATTACCC